AGTGGGAATCAATTATGTGCGAAGCACGAATGAGGAAGATTGATATGTCACTTTAAAACCAGCACAACATTACGAGGCGGAGGTAAATTATGCCGTGCATGACTTCTATGTCACGATTATCATGTTTGGACGTGACATTTACCTTCCTCATCTATTCACGTCTCCTGATAGTAAATTTGGAATAAGTGGAGCGAGAGAAACGGCCGCGAGCGTGCCATGAGCATAGCATGTGGTCAATTTTACATGACAAGCATGCCTTGATTATCATGTTTAAATGTGTCATTTACCTTTTTTTATTCACATCACGTAACACCAATTTTGGTATACGTTGAGCTAGCAAAACGGCCGCGAGTGCATCGTGAGCGGGGTATGTTGTCATGTTCTTACATGACACGCGCGTCCTGATTATCGTGTTTGCACCAGTCATAACACCAAATTTGGTTATGTGGTGCTAGCGGAACGGCCGCGAGTGCAGCATTAAGGGCCCACTGTGCTCCGACGTAACGTTGACGCTCGCGCACGCGTGGCGCATGGAACCGCCGAGGGCAACCAAGAGATAGCGCTGAATAAACAAGAAGCGGAAAAACAATTTTTTTTTTCAGGCAAGAAAAAAGGCCTCCTTTTTTTCTCTTGTACCGGGTGCGTATGCGCCTACGCGGTTGCCTCGCCCGATTCTTTATTCTATAGCTATCCTTTTTAAAAAGAAGTTGACGAAAGAAACCGAGACTCACGCAGGACTACGGGTGTCGTTATCTTTCGCCCGCTTGATTTGAGCGCGCCCAGCAGCGCACCAAAGCGCCCTTCGGAACACAGTACCTGTGTGTACAGAGGTTACACGGAACCGAAAGGCATTCATTGGCAGCTGGCACCAGTAAAAACAATTCACGAATGAGTACGGGGAACAACATTTATTGACAGCAAACCAGCAATCTCGTTTCAATATATATATATATATATATATATATATATATATATATATATATATATATATATATATATATATATATATATATATATATATATCGTGTTAGAAGCATTATTGCGAGTTCGCAAAGGGCACGCCTTCGTTTTCAGGGGCAAAACGAACAGAAAAGCGCATCTCGTTAGTGGTAACTATGATTACAAAACATTCGTGAAAATCAGCATGAGGTGCTTCTGTAACAGCTTCAAATTACAGCTCCTGCTTTCGCCGAGCACGGCTTCAACACCTACACTTTTTATTGCATTACGACATAGTGCGGTCAAGCTGAGGACCCAAGGAGGTTCGGTTTTCCACAAGTAAATTCCGATGGAGCGGAAGTCGAGATAAGCGCAAGCATTTGAACATGTGCAGGATCAGTGCGAATGAACTTAGTGCACAAATACACAACACTGACTGCGATAACACGGTCTGAGAGTTAAATCACCGACCAAAAAAAAAAAACAAATATGCGCGCATTGGCCAAAATAATCTGCCTGTCATCGCTGTGGAACTTGCAGAAATCGATGCCTTCACCGGTATGACAGTTCCTGCGGCACCATACAGCAGTACAGCGACTACACCTACAGCAATCGCAACGATTACCGAAGCGAATAAAAACGTGCTAGAAAGAAAACGGAACGCCGAGGACCAGGCCAACCATCGGATGAAAACTAACTGCGCATATGCGCGGCGGCTGCCTTCGTCGAACAGCGGCAGGCCGACAGCGCATGTTTTCCGATTCGTCACCGTCACCGATAAGAGAATCCATAGTAGAACTCGCATGGTACCACGATCGGTTAACAAATTTAGTGCTCAGAAGTATACAGTCAAATGTTACCCTTCAATTACATAGAAAAGAGCACTTTTTGCAAAAATGGTGGCTCTCTTTGCTTTAAAGCTTGCTATGGCGCCGCTAGCGGATTTTTCGGCGTCCCCGAGGGCAGATTTGAACGGAGTCACTATAGTTCTTTTTTAGTTGTCGATGTTTTCGCCCCCCTTCTCCTTCATCGGTGATGGGCGGGACTTGAGACCTTCCGAGGCCTGGCGACGCTACGCTAGCAAAACGCGAGCATAATCTGACGCCAGGCGCGAGCGGCACGACCAGCGTCCGTCGGCGCAGCCCGGCGGCAACAGGCACAAAATGCGACATGCAGCATTTCGCGCCGATGACGTTATCCCGAAAGCACCGCGTCTGGCTCTTTTCGTGACGGAGGGACGCCGGGCGCGTCAAAATGTGGCATCGCCAGCGTCACGTCGAAGTGTTTTGCCGCCTTGAGTGTTTCATGTAGTCATGTTCTTACATGACACGCGTCTCGTGATCATCATTTTTGCACCACACACCTTCGTCATCCATTCACGTGACCTAATACTAAGTTTGGCATTTGTGAAGCTAGCGAAACGGCCGTGAGCACATCATTAGTGTGGGATGTAGTCATGTTACACGACACGCATGTCATATTTATCATGTTTGGAGGTGTCATTCATTCATGTCATCCGTTCGCGTCACGCAATACCACATTTGGTACATGTGGAATTAGCGAAACGGCCGCAAGCACATCATGAGCGCCGCATGTAATCATGTTGTTACATGACACGCTCACGATTATCATGTTTGCACCAGTCGCATACATTCATCATACATTCACGCCCCGTAATACCAACTTGGTAAATGTGAAGCTAGCGAAACGGCCGCGAGCGCGACATTAACGTGGCACATAGTCATGTTGTTACATGACACGCACCTTATGATTATCATGTTTTCACCAGTCACATACCTTCATCATCCATTCACGTACCGTAATACCAAGCTTGGTATAAGTGAAGCTAGCGAACGGCCGCGAGTGCATCATAAGTGTGGCATGTAGTCATGTTACATGACGCACACGTCATGATTTTGATGTTAAGGTTTGTCGCTTGTGTTCTTCATGTAGTCATGTCATACGACTCATACCACACCAGTTTTGAAACATTTCATGTGAAAGAAAACCACCGCAAGGGCACCAAGACAATGAAATGTAAATCATGACATTCATGACAGACATGTCACGATTTTCATGTTCTGAGTAGTCACTTATTCTCGTCATACAGTCATGTTATGCCACACCAAGTTTGGTATTGATACCATTATCGAAAAGACCAGGAGAGCTAAAAGTCATAGGCGATAGATAGATAGATAGATAGATAGATAGATAGATAGATAGATAGATAGATAGATAGATAGATAGATAGATAGATAGATAGATAGATAGATAGATAGATAGATAGATAGATAGATAGATAGATAGATAGATAGATAGATAGATAGATAGATAGATAGATAGATATAGATAGATACGTTCAACGTCGCCGAAGTTCGCTAAGAAATGCTTCGCATTTAATATAATCTAGTTCACTGATTCTTATGTAGGGTTTAACGTCTCAAAACCACGAAATGATTATGAGAGACGCCGTAGTGGAAGGCTCTGGAAATTTCGACCACTTGGGGTTGTTTAACGTGCACCTAAATCTGAGCACACGGGCCTACAACATTTCAGCCTCCATCGGAAATGTAGCCTCCGCTGCCATTCTAGTTCACTATAGACGCGGCAGAATAGATTAGCACAATGAATGCGCGAACGCGTAAGAGCGTTACTTTCGCTTCTACCGCTGTCGTCTCATGCGGAACGTCGGCACGTTAGCCCCGCTCGCTCGCTGGATTCCGTGCCGAACGGTTGTGCCCCCGCGATCTCCCACGACAGCGCAGCTCTGGCCGACCGCGTTGGCATCCGTCATCTCCTGACGCCGTGAAGCTCTCGCTGAGTGGCCCCTCGTCTTCGGACTCCTTCGACCGTGGCCCCATCCTTTTGTTTCTTATCTTTACTTCTCACGCTATTCTTTTCATCCCTGCTTATCCCCTTCCCTCTTGAGCCACTGCTTAGGTGTCGTACTGTGATGCAGACAGATGCGCGGCTCACTTTTCTTTTCTCTCATTTAAGAATCCCGTTCCCTAATCTCGTTGCAATTCACGGGAAAATGCATTCCCTTATTGCGTGTCACTATTTATCTCAAGCTTATTATTCTCTTCAAGCAACAAATTACATAAACTACGCATGCTGTGTTACATAATTTTCGCCATGTCACGTGCCACTGTTGGCAACGTCAGAGCACAGTCGTATACGTAGATAGAGGGCCAACATCACTGCACTGCCGTCTACGTAGGGCAATACATTCGTGCACGCCATGCACTCATTCTCTCGGCGCGCACCTGCGAAACGAAAAGGGAGCAGCGTTCATCTTGAAACTTAACTCGTTTCTGCGGCGCGTAGCGTTGCAAATTGTGACAGACGTGATCGTGGACGCCCCATATACGTATTGTGTTTGTCAGCTCAAAATTGTCAAACCTGGTGAGTGGCCTTTTAAAAGTCCCTTAAGCCTACGCTAAAAGAAGACACTCAATCTCGCGAGGTCATTCTCGCCCTTGGTGGTTCACGTACCCCCCCCCCCCCCCCTCTCCCTTTGTAGTATTCCACCTCCGAAATAAGCCCACGTTTGTCGAAGCGACCGAGTCATACGAGGACATCATGAAGACTTGGCGACAATGTCGCCATATGACGCAATTGATCACGACACGCGACATTTGGCATCACCCACCTGTCGCCAAACTTCGTGGTCATGATGCAAGAAAGCAGTTGGGTGGACACGGGACGCAGTGCTTCTTTCAATATATCTAGACGTTTGTTTTGTTTCCCTTTCAAGTGAGCTCCATTTGAGGTTGTCAGTTTGCAACTCTATAGTTTCGCACATTCCTTCGTGACCACTGTAAGTAAATGAAGGACAAGGAACGGTAGAAAATAAGCAACGGGACAGGCGCCACTGAAACCGTACGAACTTCCACTAGAGCACAAGCCTTGTCGGCAAGCGTGTACCACGGTGTCTTGTCAAGGGTACTATTCTGGATATCGTCGTCGTCCAATTTGCGGGCCGATGCCATCTCAAATTCGTCCCCGATAGCACTCAAGTTTCTCGATATGTCTCATCATTATGGCCGATTCTCCCGCAGACGCTGATGCTGGAACTGCGCAACTACGAGGCCCAGTCCAAGGACGGCGACCAGCAGTACGGATCCATTCCGGTAGGCCCAAATATATTTTTGCAGTTTATATATGCATTAGAATCATATACCCTACTTCAGTTTATAATATATACATATATATATATATATACATATATATATATATATATATATATATATATATATATATATATATATATATATATTCAGTAAATTATTTACTACAAGCCACAAATTGTTGGGTGATCGAGCCATGGCCCTTTTTAATTTTATTAGACGCTTCGACAGCAAAACATTCCACGTCATTTTGTACCGTTTCCGAGAGCCTTTCTGAAATACTTAGGTAGGCTTAGCAGAAGTTGCAATGCTAACCAGACAGGGCTGGCAGTTCCGCTCATGGAAAAAGAAACTTTATTCCGATATGCAGGAAGTCGGTGGCATATCATAACTAATCTATTTGAAGCGTAACACTTTCACCAAGTAGGTGGCAGGTAGATGTTTTATGAAGCAGGGAGCGTGAAATCCCATGGCCCAACACGTCATAAAATAATGAATGAAAAGAAAGTTTCAACTAATGGGTGTTTAAGCATGTCTTCAAAATTTCAGCAGTTCCGCTCATGGAGAAAGAAACTTTATTCTATGTATGTGCAGGAAGTAGGTGGGAGGTGGCCCGGTGCGGGCCACCCCTCACAAGCTCCCCATTGCAGAAGCTCATTGGCGTCCAACGCGACTCAATTGATCAGGGCCTTCTGGCTCGCCAGGTCGGAGCAGCCGAGAAGGGCTGCCATCCAGTGATTACAGGTGGCGTTCAGTTTTAGGGGGAGACTGTCATGCCTACACCGTGTACGTGGAAGATGTCCTAAGACTTCTCCGCACAGTGAGGGCATTTTCCTGTGCAGGCAGTACTGCCGGCCACGGCAGTGTTTTGGCGTAAAGGCGGAGGAGTAACCGCTCCTCCGCCTTTGTAACAGGGTTTTGGATAAATTGAGTGGCCGAATGAGTAGAATTCAGTCATTTTTTCAAATGCCATTTCGGAAGGGCCTGAAGGCATTACCCGGAGCGCACGGGCTGCGGCGTCAGTCATTTCATTGCCTTCGAGGAACATGTGAGCTGGAGCCCATATGACCGTACGGGACGCGGGGACCCCAGCGTAATTGCTGTTTTGTAAAATGCAGTGCGCCAGGTGGGACGTGCCTGCGAGGAATATTGCCCCTCTCAAGTCTGAAATCATGACATGCGAGTCCCGGTCTGCGGCAGTTAGCGCGATCGCAACTTCCTACGCATGCGTTGTGTCCTGTGTTCTATACGTGTGAGGCCATTCACTACGACGTTTTGGAGGACAACTGCAGCCGCGTACCATCCCACATGGCGAGGGCCGGAGACTTCTGGAATGCATACGCGCTCCTCCACCCCTGTTGGATGGTGGATGCGCAGTTGAGCTAATAGGCGGCTGTGATGAGTGAAGAAAACGACGACAACAACGAAAGTGCAGGGCAAGGCGCTTGTGATTTCGAGCCAACTGTGCACGTGAGGTCAGCCAATCAGCTGATGACCGGTGGTGGCCCATAGAGGTGGCGTGCCCTGATTGGGCCTCGTGTGAGCATTGCGAGGCGTTAAGCTTTCTGGCTGGGGACGAGCCGAAGCAGCGGCAGACGGAAGACAACGAGGCGATCTAGGTTCCAGCTAGGGAACGCAGCTCGCCACGCTCCAATCCCCAGCTGGGGTGGCGTCGCCGGCCCGAGTACTGCATCTCGGGGCGCGGTCTGGTCTGCTGTTCTGTTCCTTGCCGAGGGAATTGCAGATCTAGGCGAGGCGTCTCCGCGGTCAGCCGTTCAGCACAGCGACGTACGTGGCCTGGCTAGTAGTCACGGTTGCGCCGAGCATCGCGTCTCGACGCAAGCTGTTCGCTGGGCGGGCTGACCATTCCCTGCATGAAGCATCGCGTCTCCGATGCGGGTTGACTGCTCCGTCGTCCGACCCACGTCATCATGCGCCGTCGTCACTAGGGCGCCACACGTCGACACGTGAGCGTATTCCACGGCAACTTTCCACTGCCTCCTGCCTTGCAACTCAGCGTTCGTCGGCCCCCTACCTAATCCTGGGGTTCTGAAACTTTCCGCCTTGAACTCGCGTTTATTGCTTTCATCTTTCAGTCAGACAGTTTTGTTACTTATTTGCCTTGACGGTTTTTCTGGCTCTGTGTTCTATGTTTATTTTTCGTCGTGTGTCGTTACCACGTCGTCTCAGGGTTCATTTGTTTGCGCACGGCACGCAAAACAAGCGTGACGAACCTCCTCCATTAGTCCCCTCCTTTATTTACAGCGGCGACCTGACAGAGTCTTTGAACGTCTCATGTATTAATTCGTCCAGTGTGTTTCCCGGAGCTCTGTGAAAGTGTTTACCATTCCCAGGCACACAAGGTGCTGGTTGGACGTGGTTATTGGGAGATCGAGGCTACGCTTGTATATCTTCCCGAGAATCACCTCAAGGGCTTCCTCGTCGAACTTGTGTAGGTGGAGGTAATAAGGAGCCGAGTAGCTAGAACACTCGGCTGGATTCGAATTCATGCGCTAGCCACACGGCGTATCTGCAACGCAACTCCCCGCACTTGTTGGAAGCACAGAGAATCATACTGCCCACCTGTTTCCCCACCTTCCGTAGTTTGCTCAATGTTGTATCGACTCGGCGGTGTTTATGAATAAACAGACCCAGTACTCTAATCTCATCCTGTTCTGGGGTGGGTCCGCTTTCCAAGGACAATTCAATCTTGGCAGTGCGCTTTGGCGTGGAGCGGATGTGAAAAAATTACTATTCGGTCGGGGAGCATTCAAAGCCGCAGCGGCGGGCGTTGGCGATCTCCGCCGCTTACTGCAGGTTGGCTCCTATGTCCCATACGAAATCGTATCTCGCCCATATCATAATGTCGTCGGCATACTACTGGATGCCTTCAACATTCGCCAGCTGAGCCGGTAGTTTCATCATTGCCAGATTAAACAACAGGGGTGAGAGGACCCCGCCCTGTAGGGTACCTAATAGGTAGGTACCATGTTCTTCATTTGTATTCGGATACATGACTGTCGGTCGGGACTCGCTCGATGGATTCCGTGTCGAACGGTTGTGTCCGCGCGATCTCCATCGACCACGCAGCTCCGGCCGACCGGCTCGCCCTCCGCCATCTCTTGACGCCGTGAAGCTCTCGCTGAGTGGTACCCCGTCCTCCTTCGACCGTGTCCCCATCTTTCTCTGTCTTATCCTTACTTCTCACTCTATCCTTTTTAATCCCTCCTTACCCCCTTCCGTCGTGAGCCACTGTTGAGGAGTCGCACTCTGATGCAGACAGTTACGGGGCTCACATTTATTTTATTTTCTCTCCTTTAAGAACATTCTTCTCCTTTAAGTTATGGAGCCGGAACGGTTGATTCAGCTCCGCGTTCTCGAAACCATCATACGCTGGCCTTTGATGTACGTCAGACACATATGTAATAATCGCTTGATTACAGAGTTAGCATGGTAATTTTGAGGTGTCTCTGTCAGAGACATGGATAGCCCGTTGGAGATGTTTTTGTGTCTCGGCTCTGGTATGGGTCGGATCGATCAAGGTACGAAAGAGACGCCAAGTGTTCCGGCTGGACATTTGTCTAGCAGTTGTGTCGCATCGGTCAAACCCATTAGAGTCGGCAAGCTGGGCCGCGTACTCTGCCACTCGTTGGGTGAGCTCGGCAATGCTAATTTCGGGCTTCCGATTGTGTTTTTGGCGGCGCCATCTGCGGACGAGGCTGTGCCACGCCTCCCAGAGGTGCATGAGGTGGTTGTCTACCCGTGGCGTAGCCTCTGAGAGTAACTTCAATTTCCGTCGAACGAAGGTGGGTAACTAATTCCTGTCACCACGTGGGGTAATCTGTTTCATGAATAAAAGCCCTTTTTTCGGAACCAGTCGGATAATAGGCGGGTTTTGGTGTCCGCCTGTCGGATATGCCAAATGCCGCTAGGGACTTGCTTATTTGCGTTTTTCCAGCAAATAGTTTCTTCAGCGATCATCACGTTCACAAATAGCGTTCTTGTTGACGACTTTGCACAGTTGATGAGTGTTAAAATAAAACCTTGAGGGAACCAGCTAGTGACGTTAATCGTGCACACGCAAATGTGCAAGTGACCACATGGAGACTACCCTGAAGGCATTGTTAAAAGTAAATATGTGAATCAGAATTCACCCATAGCTGCGCTTATTTTCGTAGTGCAAATTGAGTAAAAGATTTTTTCGACTCCACGTCCTGTTCGAGATATTTTAATAAATATAAAAATGTCATAATTCCGAAAAAAACATCTCGCTTCTGTTGGGCTTCTTCGCGAATGTCGCGCCGCTCTTTTGTGACTTCTTTAGTAGTGGTGGCTATTTGCTCGCTGGCATCACTCTCTAACCACGCAGGCCAACACGCAACTGAAGACACTCCTTGCTATCAACTCCGGATCCGACGGCATCCCGGTGAGCGATGCATGGCGGTCATTGCAGACGACCGCACATGTGAAAGTTTGTGTGATAGAAGTCGCTTGTGCATCAATAAAATGCTGCGTCACGCAGCCTCATGTCGAGGTGGCCCTGGAGACGAACAACGAGACCGTCATCCGGGCGGTGATCCTCTTCGCCGAAGGCATCTTTGACGGAGAAAGCCTCGTCTTGTGAGTAAGAGGGCCATGTACTCGAAAGGTAGCATGCATCGACCGACGCATTACTCGCGGGCACTGATGTCCGTCCGCGCCCAGCATCGTTGTCAGCTTGCCAACCTCTCGGCAACCACACAGCGGACAAAAAAAAAATGGGAAAAGTACGGGGCACATACATGGCGTCATCAGTCAGTTTTTGTCATTTTTTTATCAGTTTACCGATTTTTATGAATTTTTCATCAGCGAAGAGACGCACGTTTAAAACATTTCCTACTAAACACGAATGCTTGAAAGAGCGCAAAGCGAGATTTGCAGCGGTTAGGTGAGGCGTTAAGCCAAGAAAGAGCAGCTCGCGTTTATATTTGTGGCTTCCAGAGTTCCGCTAATATTATTCAGATCGTCTCTGAGGTGCTTGCAGAATGTGCCAATCACTTGTCGCATTTTCGAGCTTATTTGAATTTTCCCCCGCAAATGTAGTTATTTTATCAATTAAACAGGGAATCAAGGAGTAACGTTAATTGTGCAAACACCCATTCAACCAAAGGACCAGGGAGATTATGTTGAAACGTAAATATGTGGTTTCATTCGTTGCTGCGCATATTTTAATAAATAAATCATACGCGACTCTGGAACTCCTCTTTGAATTTGATTTACATTTTAGGTATCAATAAAACATTAAAACTAATAAGTGCGGCAAGTTGGTAAGAATGAACAACTTAAAATGGGAGTGCGTAAGACATCTGTCGTCTACGTGTCTATATATTGTGTCTTGTGCGCTAACCATTCTCAAATTAAGCATAACAGTGAGAAAATGTATTGCACACCCATTTCTTTGGGCTTCATTTGTGGTGAACATTCGTTCGTTAACCGAGTAGCATATGACAACTCTGAATTACGGTCAACGTAAAACCCCGTTTGAGTCGGTGATGGGCGACTGTTTTCCTGCCAAGTCGCGATGTCAGGAGATGAGTGATCTCAACTGCACGAGAAAGCTTGCAAAGGAAAAGGATTCGAGATCCCTTCGTGCCGTTGTATCGTGCCCCTCAAGCTCGAGATCTTTCGAGAGAATAGCTCCTCATACAGCGGGCTTGCTCAATTTGATTAACCTGCCACAGTGTGAGGCCGTTATGATGCGTAGTTACTTTTTAACAAGAAAGTGCTTTATGCCGGGGCCCACCAAGACTTCAATGACGCACTTTCGTCGCGGAAGTGACGCCGAAAAATACGCATAATCAGAAGACAAAGAAAAAAGTTCCGTCGTCGAGGGTCCCTCTGGGTCCTCAGCATGCATGCACGTTAAGCGGTGTTATATAGCTGCCAAACATCGATTCGCAACTTCAAGGTATCGTGGCACCGCTGAGCGGTCGGAAGCTCTGTTGAGATGATGGAAGTTTTTAACCTGCTTCAAACCGCAGACGCTGCTGCTAGTTTTGATGCGTTTGTGGTCGTTTTTCAACGTTGTGAATGGTATCGATATTACCATAACCCTTTTAGTTTTTCTAGTTAAAGAGAAGTAGAAGTAAAAGTTTCACTGCAAACCTCGATGCTCATATTTACACCAGGAGAAAAATTAAGCGTCCCGTTCAAATAATCGCCCAAAAAAGCCATCAGGGGTTAGGAGGGTTAAATTTAGCAGACAATAACTAAGGCCCATGAATGGTGCTATGCAGCACCTATTTTCTGCACCAGTACAGCAACTTCCATGTTTGCAGTTCTCGCCGTCTGCGCTCCGCTTCTAGAACAGAATGAGAGGACCGGTTTGAGAACGATCATCGCGTCATTACACATCTCTTCACATCTGCAGCAATTTGTGCAGCGTTGCGCGCGATTACGTACAGCCAGCGTACCTGTGCTACCGGGCATTTATTTTTGAGTGAACGGCTTCTGGAAAGCTACAGAAAAACTTAATTTAGTATGTTAGCGCTCCCCTATTTTCTCAAAAACATTAATCCAAGGGTCACCGAAGCGCGCGAAGAGCTGCAGTCGTCGCCGAAAGTGTACTTTCCGCTATCGTCTCTTTCGGGGCGATCCTCTCAACGACCGCCATGTTGGATGTATAGTCGCGCCACCAATAGGTCGTGAAAGTTACGAATAGACCATTGCGCAAGCTCTCTTTTTATCAATGTACAGTAAACATCCAACTACTGTAAGGACACGTTTAACTTTCTTGTTTTACCTATTCCTATGACGGAGGGATCAAATATGTTTGTTTTTCTCTCTCTCTCGCTGTGGAGCCGCTCTCTTCCCGCATGGCTTGTACATTAAATTGTAGTGAGCAGGCCCGTAGCCAAAGAGTAGGGGGCCACTCTAGCCTCACCCACCACTCGAAGTCTTGACGCAGGAGGACGTTTAACCGAAACTAGGTTATGAAAATAGCTGTGTTTCTGAATATTCAAGGTCTTAAGAAAGCGGGCTCGCTCCGAAAGCAATTCCTTGCCTGGTGGTAAGGCGCTTCTGACTGAGCGGCAACATTGCAGAGAGAAATCGAGGTAGCAGCAACTATCTGGGAAGGAAGTTCCTTCGCATTGAGACTCGGCGGGATATTGACAAGCACACATGTATTACAGAATGTGTCACCAAGGAATACGAGACGACGACAACGTACACAAGGCAAAGTACACCATTTCCAGAAATGCCTATTTTGATTAATAATAATTATTGAGGTCTTACGTCCCAAAACCACCACATGATTATGAAAGATGTCTCACTAGAGGACTCACGGAAATTTTGACAATCCGGGGTTCTTAAAGGCAACGTGCACCTAAATCTGAAGATGAGTGCAACAGCGCGAGACAGATGATGACGACTGACACGAGCTTGTTTCGTGTATTCCGCGAGGAAGATGAGGTGCAGTCGGAGGTAAGGTCAGGAAATTCGACCAATGAGAGTATCCCACGCTGTTTGAGAAGCACCCAAAGAAAGAAGAAGGGAGGTGGCCGCCAGCGGAGTACCCGTGCTACGGCTGCAGCAGGCTGGGCCTTTCCACGAGCTTCTGGCGTCGGCCGGATTCACGTTTCTCATCGCATGGCGTCGGCCAGGCGTCTCTCCGACTGTCCTCCGCTGGCGAGCGACGACAGGCCGCTGACTCACCTGGTGCGTCCATCTGCCCCCTCTCTGAGCGTCGCCACCGCAGCTGCCTCCTGTGCTTTGCCGACGTTGACAGTATACACGCTTCATCACGAGTGGTGATACGACTCACACGTTTGGCCCAAGCTAGTTAATCAGTTTGGGTTGTGCAGGTTGAGTGTTTGATTTTGTATTTGGCATCCTGTAAATACATTTAGTTTGAGTGTGCGCGCGTTCCCAAACGGGCTCCTTTATACTTGATGGCCGTTTCGTCATCAATTTATTAACCAACCTACACGGGATCCTCTCGACAGTGTCAGACTTACTTTTCCGAACCGGACATTAACATATTACTCATCCGGACTCATGGCTTCACGTGAGTGATTCGACTAATGAGTGAGCTTGCCCGAGGGTAAATCTAAGCACACAGACTGAATACAGTAAAAAAAAATATCAGTGATAACAGTCCTTTTTGTGCAAAGCTGGCTTTCTGACTTCGTACCGACAATGAAGACCTTGTATTGACCTTTGATGAGACAGACACAGCTTTCCTTTTTGTTTGTTTGTTTTTTGTGCACCTGTTCCTTTCCATTTACAAAGAAGGCTGTTCCATTCTTCCTTGTGCGAGACTGCCTGTTTTTAATTTTTACATGTACGATGTGTTCAAAGAAATCGTTGCGCTCGGTCAACCTTCGAAGCAACACACTTTTTTACCACTCCCCTTCAAGATGCATCTGGCTTCGAGGGTGCGATGAAAACAATAGACAAATAAACAAATGATCAGGGCACAAACGACCGCTATAAGGTCAAGGATGTTAAAGAACGACAAGGAGGCTCCTGAAGGGTGCGATCGAAAAATCAATGATTCCTGGCGTTTAACCATTCCACTGGTCGAGCTATACTGAGTGAAATTTACAGCAGAAAATATTAAATCGCGCCTCTAGTTCACTCACTGAAGCACTCTAAAACGTGGACTATACCTCATGCTGAGCAAACATTCGTTGGTTGATGGAAAAAATGACAATATTGTTTAATTGTGTGGCATAAAAGGACCTTTGTAGGTGTGAGGCACCTTTTAAGGCGATTGCTTGTGGGCGTCTAATGACGGCACGGTGTGTCATCATAAACACACCAGAAAATTCAGGAAAATTCTCCTACTCGAACAGAAGAAGGCAGAAGTTAAGGTTGTTTCCTACCGGCGACTAGAAGCGGTCGCGCGACCATTTTCGACTGGTCGCAAACAGTCGCGAACGGTCACAAACGGCTGCAAAGCGACTGCTTTGGCTAGTCGCTTCCTGACCGATTTTTTGGTCGCGCGACTGCAGTCGCAAAGCTCCTGGAACCAATCAGCGGTGCCCAGAAGGGACGCCAGCACTTCTATATATCCAGGTTCATCGTTATATTTGATTTTTTCATTGTACTGACATCCTGTCGCCACATACAAACGAGTGCGTGCCTGTGGTCTGTGGCAACATGGCCACCACGGAGTAGTTGGCTTGTAGATGGCGGGGCGCAGCAGCTCGATCAAAGGGTAGAATTTACGTGGCGCCATTTGCAAGAAGCTAACGCCATCAAAGTAAAGAGAAAATAAATGTGCACTATCTTCCCCCGTATTCAGAATCATTTTTGAGGGGCGAAGCTCCTTAAAACAGCACCATTCGTCCCTCGTAGTAGTAGTAGTAGTAGTAGTAGTAGTAGTAGTAGTAGTAGTAGTAGTAGTAGTAGTAGTACTCGTAGTGTGTAACTAGTCTTACATTTTGACCTCCAAGGTGGTGCCGGTGGGAGATTTCTTCTGTGCGTTGTTGAACAATAAAAAATTCGCAGCGTACGCGTTAACTAAAAGCCGAATTCTCCTGTCTCTCATTCCCCCTTAGCAGCCATTGGCATGTACAGTGAGCACTATCTGACAAGAAAGGGTTGCTACGTTATACTCGCTGGGCGTAACCTCC